AAAAATAAAATTTGATTTTTATTTATTAATTAACTAATTAAAACAATAAGTTACATTATATTAGATTTAAAATTAAAATAACTTTTTATATGTTTATATAATTTAATATAAAAAGTATATTAATTAGGTTTAAAGTAAGGCATGAATTAGAAATCTTTGTCTTATTCGCTTTGTTCAATGAAGTTATAATTTTCATTATTAGTGAAGAAAGATTGGAAGAAGATCATGATAGACACATATAGATACCCACCCACTTCCACACTTAATCCATAATATATTTAATTAATTACAATTCAAGTGACTGATCTTGTCTTGTAAGCAGAATTCATTTTAATTATAAAAATAGTATTGTTGTTATATCATATAATATTATAAATTTATAATATGATATATCATAGTATAGTTAATTTTTATTCAAAATTCACTCATAATATTATATGCATTAATTTATTTAATATTATATCTTATTCAAATAATATTATATCATGATTATTAACTTATAATCTTATAATAAAATTATATAATTATAGTATTATCATTATCGTCAACAATTTAAGTAGTTTAGTGTTAATCTTCTTTCATTTGAAGTAAGTGATATTGAATTCGAATCACATAGCATGTAGATAAAATATGATAAGAGATGAAAGAAAGTTATCTCCTGTTGTTCAACCAACATAAAAAAAAAAATTGTCATTATCATTAATGGTTTACTTAATTTAGGTTCCATTTAATTCATAAATTAAACTTATTTTCAAATTTTTTTGAACAAATTCGTAAGGGGTGGATTCGAATCGTTGCCCTGAAAGTGAAGGAATGCATTTATACGTGGTCTGACATCATTGAGACTGAAGACTCAAGTGCAAACTTATTTTTAATTTTAATTTTGTAAGTTTTGGAAACTTGCATTTCTAAATAATAATAATAATAATAAAAGCCAATGATATTAAAAGAAATCGAACAAGTGAAAACAACTTCAATTGAAGCTCCAGTGATCTAATAATTCTAGAGTAATGATACACGAAACGAAATAAGAAAACGAAATCATGAGCCGAATCAGAGTTGGCATGTCACCTCAGCAAAATATTAAAAATTGGGTGTCAGGTCTTTATTCCTAGCATCTTTTGTTTGCTGATGTAACATACCAATTTAGATTCGGTTTATGATTTCATCTTCCTATTTCATCCCATATATCATTATTCATAATTATATGAATTGTGGTTTACGTTAATTAAAAAAAAACTTAAATATATGTTATTAATAGTATTTATTAACTTTATATATTTACTTACAATCAGGGTCGGAGCCAGGGGTGCAACTTCAAGGGGCGCTCGCCCCGATGGGCTTTTGAAAAAAAATTAAATAGGTCTTATACTTTAAAAAAATATTAAATAAACTCTTTTTTTAAAAAATAAAATGATGTGTCTAACTTTTATTTTTTTATAAATCTTATGATAAATTATTAACAAATTGACAAGTAAAATAAATTTAATAAAATATTTTTATTTATTTGACATATTTGTCATTCTAATATATGTATAATTAATTATTATTTATATTAAATAACAAAATAAAATTGATTTAAAATTGATATTGTCAAATTTTTAAAACATTTAGTTTTCCTATCTATATAATATTGTGTAATATTTTGTGATAGATCTTGTGTTTCAAATTGAAATTTAAATACATAAATTTTAACAAGTTTTTTTATATATAAAGTTTTTAAAATTTTAATTTATATATATTTAAACCTTAATTTTATTTATAAATTACAAGT